TAAAATACCATGTTGAACAACAGTACAGTGCATGCACCTAGAATGTGATCTAACATGAGACTGATCAACTTCTTTGGTAGTGATCCTCTTGAAGCTATTATCCATACAAGTCCTAGTATTGGTAGTATAGATATGTTTAGTATTGATCTGACCAGCCCTTGCAGAAAGAAAACAAAATTTAACTGAGATACAGTAGCCTAATTGAATGTCATCTTTTCGACTCTCAGTAGCAGATGACCCACATCCTCTTTACTGTTGAGAGAGTTAATGAAAAACACAGATGTAACTCAGGTTTTGAAGGATTTCTCTGAATGCACTGCTGTACTGAATGCTTGTATCATCCACAGAGACTTTTCTCATTGACTGGCCTTGTTGCCATAATTTCATTAGATGATCAATATCTGTCTCATCAACATTTGTAGCTAGCTTTTCTCATACAAATTAGGCTACATTGTTCATACTGAATACATCAATTCAAATATTAATTTTCTGGGAACTGGTTATGAAACAAACTGCCTGAGTGGTACAAAGAAGGTACTGGCACAAAACCAGGACACAATTAGTTTACATTGATGGATTACAGCAGAAATGCCCAAACCTTTTTAACACGGAGGCTAAAACAGCTACACATTACATGGCATTGTGTGCTATGGATGGCCACTTCACATGTTAGTCTCATTTGGATATCCTTGGATAAGAGGTTTGAGTGAATTTCAATTGAATCAGAGTATAATCATGCAGCTTATTGAAATTTTTGTACTGCATATCATTTCAATTGTATCCAAAAGGTAGAATCCATCCTGGTTGAAGTGGACTGAAACACAACGAGGTGATCTTTCTTTCCTAGCACATTAGTGTAAACCCAAGACAATTCCCCTTGGTGACAGAATAATCCCATCATCTTATGCAGCCATTTTAATATCTGCTCAAACAATTTTTGGTTTTATGAGGGGTTTTTGTGCATAAAAGTAAGGCACTAGGGGGCGGCTGTGGCTCAGGAGGTAGAGCGGGTTGCCCGTTAATCGGAAGGTCAGCGTTTCAATCCCCTGCTCCTCCAGGCTGCGTGTCAAAGTGTCCTTGGGCAAGATACTGAAACCCGAATTGCCCCTGGTGGCTGTTCCACCGGTGTATGACCGTGTGTGAATGGTGAATGCAGATGTAGTGTAAAAGGGCTTTGAGTGGTCGAAAAGACTAGAAAGGCGCTATACAAATACGGAGCACTACAATGTGTATAATGTGTGGCGTTCCTGCAAAAGAGAGCTGGGCTCTCTGTGAAACATACCTGAATAGATAGATTAAAAAGAGAAAAAAAAGAATAATACACCACTGAGTAGAATTGTAGGTAGTCAGGTAGATAGTTTTATTGTCACAATACAACAAGTTGTATAGTGAAATTGAGTTTTGTAACTCCCTTCTGCTACATAGCAGACAATATACATTAATAAGGAATCAATTATGAAAAATGTTAACAGAAATAAAGTATCATCACTGGAGCAGTGCTGAGGATGAATCAGAGATTAAGAGTCTGCTTGGGGGGCAACTTCTCAGCAGTCTGGTGGTGCGGCAGCAGAAACTTCTATATCTCTTCCCAAAAGGCAGCAGGGTGAAAAGGCTGAGGCTGGGGTGGGTACTGTCCTTTAGTATCCTTTGGGCTCTGCGTAGGCACCTCACCTCACCGATATCACTGATGCTCAGGAGATGGGTACCAATGATCTTCTGAGCAGTGTTAATCCCATGCCAGTTTGTGATGCTTTCTATTGCTCCTCTGTAAAAGCTGACTTGGCATGGGAATTTGGCCTCCTTAAGCTTCCTCAAGAAATACAGGCGTTTTTGAGCTTTCTTCACCAGCTGAAAGATGTGAGATGACCATGTCAGGTTCTCGGTGATGCTGTTTCCCAGGAACTTGAAACTATTCACCTGCTCCACCTCAGCACCACTGATGCAGACACGAGTGTGTGTCTTTATCTCCTTCTTCCTAAAATCAATGATCAGCTCCTTGGTTTTGCTGACGTTGAGCAGCAGGTTGTTCTCTGAGCACCACTCTGCAAGATTATGAATTTCTTCCCGATATGAAGTCTCATTGTTGTTTGAAATCCGGCCGATGATGGTGGTGTCATCCGCAAACTTCACAACAGAGTTCTCTTCATGTCGAGGGATGCAGCTGTAGGTGTACAGCGTGAACAGAAGGGGGCTGAGCACACAGCTCTGGGGAGCTCCAGTGTTGAACACTAGAGTGGAGGAGGTGAGTCCGCCAATCTGAACTGACTGTTTTAAAAAAACAAATCATTGTTTCTGATCAGATCACTTGAAAGTTGCCCTTCAGGTTTCCTTCTACTTACGCTATTTATGTCCTATTCAATGTAAATGTGATACAAAACATAAGAATAGCTTGGAAGATATGCTGCATTGTTATAGATAGTATACTGTATTAAGTAGTTAAAATGATCTCTTATATATAATATTATAATTATTATTATATTATTATTATTATAAATCCACTGTGACCCACTACAATACTTCTTGTTATATATATATATATATATATATATATATATATATAAAAAACAAATACAAAATTCACTCTCCTTTAAGGTCGGTCTGTGTAAGTTCTGATAGTTTGTTTTTTAGTTTGAACCACAAAACGAACAAACGTGAAAACCTCCACAACGAAGAAACGGGGATAAAAGAGCCTTTATCTGTTTTTGGTTTCTGAATCCAAAAACAAAAAATGACTAAGCCAAATTCAAATATTTTTTTGAAATTCCTAATTTCATTTCTCCGTTTGAAGATAGAATTTAAGAAAATTAAGCCAGGTGGGCCAGGTGAGCCGGAAGTAATGGTAAACATAATAAAAGCCAAACTCGTAGAACATTCAGATCTGTAACATTATGCAACACTAACGTTACACCAGGGTGATATAGTAAATAAATAAATAAACCTGGACCGAGAGAAATACTTTAGTAACAGTATGATTACATGGGCATGCAGGTTTAGCTCTGGGATGAGGGTGAATGATGAAGATGATAACTAGTGTTGTGGTGGCAGCCCGGCTGACGGTGAGTGTCCTGTTTATATCTCTTTTTGGTTGTGATTCTGTTTTCCTGTACTCTGCCTGCCTCCCTGTGTCTCCCTTCCTGTGTGTGCTCTCCCTCTCTCTGTCCCTCCGCTCCTGAGCCCAGCCAACGACCCGCACCTGCATTTCGTCAGCCACCTCCTCTGCCTGCCACACCTGCCTGCAATCAGCCTCATCTCCGACAGTACTTCTACCAGTCAACCCCTGCTTGATCATCGTTGCTCCTAATCTGGTGCCACAAGTTCACTCAAGCTCCTGAAATCAGCTCTTGGTTTTTCCCCCGTGTCTAACCCTGTCTGTCTGTTTCCCTTCCCAGGTTCACTCACCTTCGTCCTCCGTCCTGTCAGCTGGGCTTGCCTACCAGTCCTCTCCTCTTGGGCTACCTCCACGGCGCTCCCCCGGCTCCCTTTGCTCCTCGCCAGTCCACCTGCCACCACACCATTCCCTTCCCCGGTCCCCTGCCTCCCACGGCTCCCTCACCTCCATCTCCTCTTCCCCAGCCCCTCTGTTTCCCCTAAATAAACCACCTTTCAACTGAGTGTTGCGTTTGGGTCCGTTCTGTCCTGCTCCCTAACAGAACGATCAAGCCACAAATGGACCCAGCAACCACCTTCCAGGAGGCAGCTAACCAACTCTGGTTAGAGTTGGAAGAGAAGTGGAGGGAGTTGAGTCATGTGGGCTACAAGAGGGCTCTTCTGACTTTTGGCAAGGTAAAAGTCTCTCAGAAGCCGTGGCTGACTCCTGCTCCTCGAGCCCTGGTGGATCGACCGGCTTCAACCCTGCCGGTGGTCCGGCCAACCCCTGCTCCTTGTGCCTTGTCAGGGAACGACCGACATCAACCCCGTCGGTGGTCCGGCCGACTTCTGCCCCCCTTGCCCTGTTGGCGGATCGACCAGCTTCAACTCCGCCAGTGGTCTGGCCAATCCCTGCTCCTCGCACCAAGGCCGTCGCCCAGCCCACAGCCCAGCGTGCGCCACCTCCTTGTTCCTGCCCTACTCCCTGGCCTCTGAAGAGGTCTCGCTCCCATCCCAGTCTCCCCTTAGCCTGACCTCCAGAGAGGTTACGTCTTCTCCGCTGGGGCCTCCGGTCCTCACCGGCCCCCTGTGGACCTTAGCTCAGGCTCTCAACCTCCTGACCTCCCCGGTTCCCTCTCTGCCCTGCCCCTGGAAAGCCCACCTCAGGTCCCAGGTTCCCTCTCTGCCCTGCCCTGAGGTTCCCTGTTCCCTCCTTATTCTACAAACTAGGCTGCAAATAAGACCAAATGAAAGAGGGGTTGTGGGTTCAAACCTTGGTTTCCCCGGCCTTTCTGTGTGGAGTTTGGATGTTCTCCCCGTGTCTGCGTGGGTTCTCTCTGGGTGCTCCAGCTTCCTCCCACCATCCAAAGACATGTGGACTAGGTTGATTGGTGACCCCAAATTGTCCTTAGTTGTGAGCGTGAGTGGTTGTTCCCCACGGACCATGGTTCGTCTATGTGTGGCCCTGTGATGGACTGGCAACCTGTCCAGGGTGTACCCTGCCTTGCGCCCGATGTCAGCTGGGATTGGCTCCAGCCCCCCCGCGACCCTGTACGCAGGATGCAGTGGTTGACGATAGATGGATGGAATATAGCACTGACAGTAACAACTCTGCACACAGAATAATTTCTTGGGTTTACCTACATTAACCTACGAACTGTACTGCACCAAACAATGCGCTTAATAAAAGGTGACTGTTGCTGTTGGAATAAATGCGCAATATTATAATGCATAATCAACTACTGTTACTAACATATTTCTCTCGGTCCAGGTTTATTTATTTTCATCTAACGTCACCCTGGTCTAACATTAGTTAGTGCTGCATAATGTTACAGATCTGACTGTTCTACAAGCTTGGCTTTTATTTTAATACGTTTACCATTACTTCCGGGTCACCTGGCCCACCTGTCTTTATTTTCTTAACGTCTATCTTCAAACGGAGGTTTAGTTGTTTATCGTGTTTTTTTTTGGATTCAGAAACCAAAAATTGGCTGTTTTTCCCCCTGTTTCTTTGTTTTTGGTTTGAAACGACAAACAAAAAAGAGGTGGTTTTCTCGTTTGTTCATTTCATCGTTCAAACGAAAAAACAAACTATCAGAACGTACAGGGACCATGGTCGCCACCAACTCCTGAAAGTACCATACACTGAGTAGAATTGTTTTAAAAGAATTACAATTTAGCAGATGTATTGTAAATCCTTGTTCCTGATTGGTTATTAATCACGTGTTCACTTGAAAGTTGCCCTTTAAGTTTCCTTCTACACTTTGCCATAAGTAGGAGTTGCTTGATGAATGTGTCTTATTCTTCACTTCTTGTCTTATTCTTCACTGTCATGAACCAGGTCTGTAGCCATGAAAAACAAGAGAGGGGATGTGATGTGACTTATCCTAAACTGTCTCTTTAGAGCGTTCTTACATGGAATTGTTAGAAGTTTGATGAATACAGGCTTTGCTCTGCTTTTTCCACTGGAAATGAAAATTATTCTGTTCTTCCTCTTGAATCATCTTGCAAATCCTGGAAGTACACTGAGTCCCAACAACGAACAATGAGCTGACGGTTGAAGGAAGATGCGTGAGTCATGCAGCATTCGTGGTCGCCGCTGGGAGGCAATGACACACAAGAAGGCTTGCACAATGTGCCTCCTATGTTTTGCCAGCTGTAGCTTGTTTGCCTTCATTATCCCCCCACTCCCCACCTCCCCATCCTCTTTACTACTGCCACAACTGATCTGAGTATGAGATGGAGGTAAGTGATGATGAATAACAATTAGGATCTTTCTGAACAGATACCAAAGAAGAGGCCAATATCAATATGAGATTTTTATATGGTAATTCTTTCATCATTTATTTTAGTACAAATGTTGACTGAGCACGCTGCAGTGCAGCTTAAAAAACACAATAATTGAACACTTACTTTAAACTGATATGTGAGCAAATAAATTGGACATCAACGCTGACAAACACACACACAAAGGACAAAATGATCATATCCATTCTGCTGAATTCTCTGCAGGAAAGTCATAAATGGTTTTAAATGAGGACGAGCTGCCGTTGATACAACTGATCAGTATGTGGAATGGAATTAGGTGGCCGAGGTTGACAAGTGGAATCTTTTATAGCCAATACTCATTGCTCATTGTGGCAGTTTAAATGATGCTTCTTTCTCTGCTGCTCGGTGGTTAACAGATGACACTGACAGCTCACATTTTCTGCTTCCCATTGACATATAATCAATTTAACTGATTTGATCATCTATATAATCGCTGTTACATTTGTGCAACTGGTATCTAACAGAGGCAGCAATAGTGAGTATTTGTTGCCTACACTTAGTAAAGTACTGCAATGCCTGTACTTTACTTGAGTGTTTCCATTTTATGCTACTTTATGCTACCACTCTACCACATTTCAGAGGGAAATATAATACTTCTTATTCCACAACCCTTACACCAGTCCCCTTACATAGATGTCGTTATGTTGCGCCGCTATGTTTCTACTAGTAGGACAAACTGCTCTACAGAGTGAGTTTCGTCACTACATTGAATAGGTACAAAAAAGAAGATGAAGAAGAACAAGTAATTTTAGTAGCAGTAGTCAAGTGGTTTATTAGAAGTAAGAAATATAAGAAAAAGTAAAAACTTTGGTCAACTTTGTGTGGACTTTGGATGGCCAAGTATCCCAGAATGCATTTCACGCCAAAAAGCAGAAATCGGAGGCGAAAACTTAAAACTTAACTGTAAGTAATAATACTGCTATTATTGTGTCACGGAATGCAGTTTTAAGAGTTTTTTCATGTAGGAATATAGTTGTTTAAACTGATTTGAAATTTTGCTACAACATTTTCGGAGATGTGAAGTCCCGCCCGCTAACGGGTCCGACCGTCATCAAGTTGTTGCTGTTGCTGTTCCAATTGCTGAATGAGGGACTGTGTACTCCCATAATAGCTCCTGAGGGACATCTCAAACTCTTAATCTGCTGAATGCTCCACTATGTTCACTAGCTTTTCGCTTACTTTGTCTGTCTGCTGTTTGTTGCTGGGCAGGTAATGTACAGTTGGTTTATACTGCTTTTTTTTTCAGCTGCAGCGGTTGAAAACAAACGGAGATGATAGCAGTTAGAGTGAACCAAAAGAGTGAGAGAAAATAATCTTAAAATGTTCGTTAGGCTGAGGAACTGCAGACGGATAAATATAAATTTGTCACTATGTCCCCCCTATACACACACACACACACACATATATATATATATATACATCACCAAAATTTCCAACAATCGATCACAGCTGCTGATTCTCCCCATCCCAGTGCCTCATATTTGTCTCTGAGCAATTAGCCTTTTTGCATCCCAGTAAGTACACAGCAGATATGTGGCTAATCTCACTCCCTTTTCACTTTCTCTTTCCTTCATTGATTCTTTTATCTCCTGGTGAAAACATTTCTTCTTCCTCTGAGTTTGACTGTCTGGCACATGTAACTGGAGGTGTGACAGGCTTTACAGCTCTTACACTAATACCCTTTATTTGCCTGTAAAAGGCTATTGTTGGGAAGTCAGTAATGGATGTGTGCATCCGAGGCTGGCAGCCTTTGTCTGTGTGTTTGTGTGTAGGTATGTATGTGGTGTGTACATGCGGTTTGTGTAAGTGTGTGACACAAAGACGTTTCTTTTACAGTGCTGCCGTAAAAAATAGACATTCATCGCCCCAGAGGGAGCCGCCATTTCTGTTTCACTGGGTTTCTGGACTCTTTAGAGATTACAGCTTTATGTTGGAATATATATAGTTTATGTGTGTGACAGTTTGAGATTCGTTATATGGTGTCCTTCTGAGTGAATTATATGTATTCACTATAGTATGTATACTCTGAGTGACCACATAACACAAGCATTTGATAAATACCTAATGTAAATGTTCCCTTTATGTTCTTAGTGAATGTAGAACGTAATCCACACCACAATCTACGGCCTCAAAAATTAAGACACAGTTGAATTAACACCTCACTGAGACAGTTTTAACAACAAATGAAAATCACAAATTTCACAAATCTAGTATTTATTATTATTTCCCAAAAAAAAACAACAGCACCAGTCATTTCAACAAAAATGCTGCCCAAACAACATTTGTTTACCAAAGGTATAATTACAAGGAAGGAAGTTGGGTGACAATATTTTAGAGCCACAAAGCCGGCAGAGGGAGGAGGTTGGGTCAACAAAACATCTGACTTTGCCATGGGAGACCGCTGTTCGACTCTCATTTCTTTCGGATAGTCAATCTTGGTTTGTTTTAACCATGACCACTGTCTTTCCCTGACCTTAACCACATGGTTATTATTGTAACCATGATGATAAAGGCCCCAGTGAGGTTTCCCTAACCTTAATTAAGTACCCAAACCATGATCTTCACTTGACCCTAACCAAACTTTAACCATGGCATTGTCACATCATAAAACTGATTTATTTTTAACTGTTTTGGAAAGCACAGACAAATGATGCTGTCCTGCCGATAGGGGAGTCAAACCCCCCCCACTTCTATATGTTGTTCTGGAGGGCAGTTCTGTCGTTTTGTCAGTGCAAGTCATGATATGGTACCCATACAAAACCAAGGTATTACTCTGTGTGTGTGCTGCAAAGCTACAGTGAGAGATCTGTTTAGTGAAACCCTGAAGCAAGTGGATAAATGTCCATTCTTTAAATTATATAAAGAAGGCTTAGCCTCAACCCAGTAGGAATCTTTTGTCACAATATAACTTAATGAATTGGAAAGAACTGAAGATGGACTGCATTTAGTTTAAAAACAGCACAAAGTAATCAATGCATCTTGTTTTATTTTTCTCGCAGCCAAAAGACTAATGACGCATTCGCCATCCAGCAGTTGAGTAAACAGGACTGAGGCTCCCTGCTGGCTGCTGCATGCGGTGACCTGGGAATGAAGGAGCACAGTCGTGCTGACTCGGTGAATCTGAACACCACAGAGGCTGGCTTGTCACAGTGCCAACCATTCGATTTGTTTAGAGACACAATATGGCCATCTTGGCCGTGTGGTGGAAAAGACTCCAGGGGAGCCAGTACTTGCCAGCCAACTTTCTCTTGTCGCTCTTTCTCTCTTATTTTTCACTGTGAGACCACACTCAGCAGGGAGCAGTTGAAGTAGGAAATGCGCTTTCATGGAAGATTCAAAGCCGTGATCAAACATACAGTGTTCTCTGAAATAATTCAACATTTTGACACTTTCATTGTGTCTGCTTGATTTATGGCTCTCAGCCTCATAACATATTCATGTTGCTTGTTTACATGTTTTTTTTTTTATAGTTCTCTAAAATATCATGAGTTTTTATACGCATTATTTTATTTCACGCAAAAAAAGCTTCTAACAAATAAACCTGTTTGAATTATATCTGCTATGACAAATAAAAGCCATTATCACTTCCACATAATGACTGCTTTAATCGCTCTGATAATAGTGTTATCATGAGCTTGATCTGTCATCCTTCTCCTCACTGCAACAATAGCAGCTAATGGCAACTGTCAGAAGAATACAGCGTTCACATTAATGTAGAAGTAATAATTCAGCTCCATCAAAACTTGGATTTTCCGGACTTTGAGAGCTGTACACTGCGCAGCAACAAGAGATACGAAGAAGATAGAAACAGTTAGCCACTTATGATTAGTCAGTGTTGATTCAGGGGCGGATTGCAGATACAAATATAAAGTTCTATTGTTAAATATGGCTGAGTAGTTACCTAAAACAGCTGGGTGCTATGGTTTTCATTAAATGTTACCTTCCTGTTACCAACAGGATTTAATGATGAATTCATTAGGGACTATTTACAGCCATCAGCTGATACACATTTGGTGCATTGTTAAGAAGGAACATGTCATCCTGTACAGCTGTATGGCTCATTAAATCTTAACACCTTTCATACAGCAAGCTTTCTCATTATGCACACAGTGGCACATTATCTAGATAATTCATCTACTTGTTATTATTATACATGTGTGCTGCTTTGCCCCTCCTCACCCTTAATGTTAAAGGAAACCTAAATCATAAAACACATTTTGCCAGTTACCTTTAGGAACCAGCCATGCCTCAATGTCAACAGTTTTCACTGGGATTATTTTCTATTGAACAAAATGGCTGAAGGGAAACCTGTCCACTGGGATGTCTGCAGAATATCCAGATTAACCGGCACATCGCTTCTGGAAAGACACATCGCCAAATTCAGACAGATAATTCATTATCTCAATCACCAGGCCAGTGCAAAAATGGTGCCTTGTGATGTATATATGAGGCATTTGTGTATTCATTATGCCACCACTGAAACTTGGGAAAGTCTAGTTGGAGCCCTTTGACATGTGTTTCACAAATTCATTAGTTTTGAACAGTTTCACCAATGGGTGATATCCCCTTTAAATGTCTGGTTCCATTCAAATGGCCATTTGATGCACAAAGAGGTAAAATTCTTTCTCTTCTCTTTTATACATTTTGTTTTTCATACTTCTGTCCTTTTACTACAGTAGGATTACATTTCTTTAATATTTCTTTCTTGTTGTAGTAGGCTACAACTTTATTTTTTACCTGTATAACCTTTCATAGCCAGATTCTATTGTATTTTGTCTATTAAAAAATACACCATTTCGAGAAATATTTAGATTGATTTAGATTTGTCTTTTAAAAAAATGTGTCTATATGTTGACTGCCAAAAAAAGGAAAAGAAAAATACAAAATGCTGCCATTACATCAAGTACAAATCTTTGTTGAGGCTGAATAAAAATGTATTGAATTTGTGATGGACTGTTCTGTGTTTCTGTAAAAACACTGCAAGAGCTCAAAATGTTGTGGGACATTTGCATGGATGTGTACATTGGTGATTGTTCAGTTCGGGAGTGTTTTTGTCACTTGTCAGTCCTTTCTTTCATGTTCTTGCCAGCTTGTCAAATTTCATCTGATGAAAGTAAAAAAAAAAGAGCTATGGATTTCCACCTGGGAGGCAGACTGGAATCTGGAGAATTTGAGGATTTTTCTCCGAAAGTGGAGAAAAGAAACAATCAATCCATATCTGGAAGAAGTGGAGGAGTAAACTATGTGCTTACCAGAAGTGTGTTCTGCTAGAAAAATTGCCAGGGAGAGCGATGCGAAAAGGTGTGTTAAGTGTGACCTAATTAGCTACAGCAGAAACTTTAACTGCTGCAGAATGTCTCTCAAGTGAATCACAGTTGAAGGTAATGCAGAACTACCTGTATGAATCAATGCAGAAAAACATGCATTTTCTCCATTTAATCTGTAGTTTTAAAATATTGTGTTGGTAAAATGGCATTAGTAGCGATCATAATGTTATTATGGATCTGTGAGATAAAGTCAGATTAATGGGATACAGTTGATCAATACTGTTAAAAGCCAGCTTCACCGTTAGTTACACTGATGTCAAAACTTGCTCGCTCACACTTTTATTCCTTTCCATTTTATTTCACACAGCTCATCATAATCTGCCTAAATTTATTTGTTTGTACTCTTCTCTTGCTCATCTTTAATAGTATCATTAAAATGTCATACTCGTTCTCCTGTTGTCTTGGCAGTGAGGTTGAAACTTTTCCCCTGTAATGGGCTCGCTATTGAACATTCACTGGTAATTGAACAGTAATGAACTGTTCTGTGACCTGTGGTGTGTGAGTAATTGATTCTGAAAGTGGTGTTTGTAGGCATAATGTGTGTCTACAGTGTGAGCAGGCACTGTGTAAAAGGCAGCTGTTGTCACGGCTCCGGAGACTGTCGTTGCAGCTGTGGCCTATAGATGGCGATGCTGCACTTCCTGTTGTTGAGCGGACACACCATGATCTCAACTTGCCTGGACTTTGGGTCCTCAGCCCTCACAAAATAAAGAGACAAGTGTGATCAAAAGCTGCAGGTGTCCACCTGCTATGCATTAAGGTTTATTTTGTTGTGTTTGGGGATTATTATGTGTCCTTGGTATGTTTATTTAGTTGTTAGTCTCCAACATTAGGCTGCCTCTCACTCTGTTGACACTGCTCTCCTACAGTAATTCTAGCAATTTCCTTGTGTAATGGTTGGATTTAACTTCTGACTAATATTTTGACCACGCAGACCACTCTTTATTCTACGTCATCTGACATTTATTTCTGTGACATTTGCACGTAAAATGACACGCCATCTCTGCACAATAGAAGTCAGTAGAGACTGAATGGCGTGAAATAACCAGCGAAGGACATTGGTGTGTTATTCATAAACCATTTGGTGATCAGGCTGGTTTGGAGGATGGTGTCTTTTTTATGAACTTTCCAAAACCAAAAACACAAGCGCTAAAGTGTAAAGAATGGATTAAAAAGTGTGCATCTGCTAACATTAACACGCCAGGCTAACTAACTTACTACTTTCCAGTACTGTACCTAATGTTATTTCTAAAGACAAGTGGCGTGGAGTGGAGTAACAGGTTACATTAGAAAAATATTTGGTCAGGACTTGAACATTCACTGCATCAGTGTTTAGAGTAACAATCGCGTCTCTGTCCTACTCTTTATGTGGTTTGTGGAATTTTAAACTCCAGCAACTCCAGCCAAACTTGGCTTAGATAGCATTACGTTTTGCCAAACACCTCTGTTATTCCTCACCCTCAAATCCTTTTCTGGTGTAAAAGCAATACTGTTTGAAAATACCAACATTAAATCTTCTGCCTGTGTTGCTTGTCCAAGTATATTGTTGTACATTACGGTTTCAAACCATCCGGGTTCATCAGGGGTATGTTAGAATGAATAACATTTCAGTTTATTTATAATACTGTACTATATAGGGCTCTGCCCAAAAGATACACAGACAATACTCCTTTATTTCCATGTCCACTTTGGATCATCCATTGGTAAGGATGCTGACTTTTTGCAGAGGACATGTAGCTTCAGCCTTAATGTTTTAGCCCTATGCCATGTATGTTACTATCATCTGCATATATAAACCCTAAATTGCCATTTGATTTGCAGTTTGGGGGAAGTCACCATGCCTCATTAATTGCCTCAACGATCTGTCTTGCTGTTTGAGCAGTTCCATGGTCTGATTTCCCACATCGATTCCCAACAAAGATCCATTATTATTTAACTGTAGTGAGCTTGTTTTAATTGTAGTATTTTATATGTTGTGCTAAAACTATGACTCAGACTGTGCTGTGATATAAAACGGAACTACCTGCAGATCAAACAGACCATGTTGTCTGCATCTTCCAGCCATCTGCTGCTCCATATTTCTTTTTATTGTCTTACTTTCCGTTCATTGTACAATTGCACAAAGACACATTGCCTTTTCTCTTTTTGCCAATACTGTTAGGACGCAGTCGTCACTGATATCACTGTGAACTGCATATGTGCAGAGCCAGAACAGAAAGCTTAATGCGCATGGCAACAGTAACTAAGTGGGGTGGTGCTTAGCAAATGGTCAATTGCTACCTCCCAAACACACTTCACTACCGTTGTCCTTTTTACAAACTTCACTCCTATGTCTGTCTTCCAGTCTGAATGTGCATTATAGAGTAGCCGCTGCATTAACCTCCCAGTCACCTCACGGGCTCATCTCTTTCATTAGCCGTTCACTATAATGGGTGTAGCGAGGTTCAGTCTTGAGCACAGATGGTGAACAACATGAAACTATGGAGACCATCCAGGCTTATGGCCAACTACTGCTCTTTGTGTGGGCAGGTAAAATGTTTGGAGAGTGATGTGGAATGACAACAGGCCAGACATGAAGAACACAATAATCACCTGATGGCTGGATCATTGAATAAAGATGTGTGTTGTCATCGTGCCTCTTGTGGAGAAACAAGCAATTGTTTTAGAAAGTAAAAAAAAAGACCTCATCGGCAAAAGAGCTTGTGATTTCAGCTGAAGCGGTCCAGTGTTTTATTCTGCAATTTGTATTGTGGTCAGGTATGTGAAAAGGGGCTGAAATGGATTTGATTGCCTGTGCTTTTAGAAGTGATGAAATGGGTCACCACACATTCTGACGAGTTGAAGTCATCATGACTGTCAGTTTGCCTTCATTTACCTCTCTCTTTGGGCACACAGGGATATATTGTAGAACTGAACCCTAATCGGATTGCTCTATGATTGCAGTTCCACCAAGGTTCAGTGAAACGATGAACACCTACTATTCACTGTCCGAGCTAAGATGCAAATCCGGGAGGAAATTAAAAAACTGGTGAGATCAGTGGTGAAAATGAGTGTTGGGTACAGTATACTGTCTTCTAAACTTGCAATGTGCCATTAAAAGAGGATGTATGTATATACAGTCTGAAAGTTGTATGGTTCACAGAAAGATAAGATAAAACAGTGACATCTGACAGTGAAATCTGTTATGCTAAAACATACCGTGTAAAACATACCAAGCAACCAACCTCTCTAACACTTAATGAATGCTTGACTGAGTGGGGCAA